TAATTCTGTCCCCAAGTGCAAGCAATGAGATCTTTGAAAGAGTCATGAGAGCACCAAACATTTAAGAATCTAAAAGGTTTAGGGCCCAAATGATTATTAGGAAAGGCCTTAACCAGAAGAGGTCTATGGTCTGATAACCCACGACCAAGATGCCTGACCTCCAAAACTGGGAAAGAATCCATGCAGGATTCATTCAATAAAATCCTGTCAAGCCTCCTAAAAACTCTCCCCCGGCCTCTTTTACCAGTCCAAGTAAACTGACTTCCCAAAAAAGGAGGAGAGACAAGTTCACAATCAGAGATAGCATTTGCAAAATCTCTGATACTCCCAAGGTCTGGACAGACTTCACCCTTATGCTCAGTAATAGAAACAACTGTATTAAAATCTCCCCCAATGATCCAAGGCTCAGACCTAGGGGCAAGCGATCTAAGGGAGGTCCAAAGCCCCTCCCTTTCAACTCTACTATGTAGGCCATACACACTTGAAATCCACAAAGTGGAGGAAGATGCTGCATACTTGAAACCACATGTAAGAATTTGAGTTTCTTCAATAACAGTATGGAGAGATAAAAGATCATCCTTCCAAAGAAACCAAAGTTTATTATTTAAAGCAAAGAAACCCTTGGAGAAACCCAGCTTAAGTTTATACCATTCCAGCTGATCATCATCCACCAACGGTTCCAGAATAGAAAGAAATTGCAACTTATAAGTTTTAATAAGATAAAGAAGTCGACGGAGAGAAGAATGTACACCACGAATGTTCCAAAAAAGACCAATCATGGGGAACCAAGAGGGGAGAATCTATTTGAAGCCATCCTCCTGGTGACCATTGCATGATTACGAACCTTTGTCTTAAAAGCCTTAGAATTTCAGGTTGCTATAGGAGTTAAAGCATCATGCAAAGGAGGAAATTCATTTAAAGATCTATATGTTTCATCAATCTCCCTTCCATCTGTTAAAAATCCCACCTCTGGATCAGCATCTTCAGGGATTGTTTCAGATCGATCCTCATAATAGTCCTTTGTAATAAGGTTTTTCCCAAATCAGTTCTCAATAAGTTTTAATTACCTATATGGTCCTCTATAATTGAGATTTATTCCCAAGATTGTTCTTCGTAAATAATGTTACTCAAATGAAGATTAATTGAGGATATTTTTTCTCTGCTAAATTTAGAATTAATTCTTAAAATAATCATTTATAATGAAGTGTTTTCCCAAATTGGTTGTTCTAATTAAAGATGTGTATTTGATTTGAAATTTAAAAGATTTTTTTAAGTTTTAAATAATTCATAAATTATTTATGAGTAAATTATGAAAATGGTCCTTTATAATAAGGTATTTTCCAAAATCAGTCATCAAATGAGGATTAATTACGAGATATTTTGGTATTTTGATCATCCAAATTTAAAGTATATTTTCGAAACAATCATTTCAGTACAACTAAATGTAAAATTTAAAAAATACATTGACTATAAATAATGTCTGAATTATTTAAAACTTAAAAAAATCTTTTAAATTTCAAATCAAATATACATCTTTGATTAGAAAAATCATTTTGGGAAAGCACTTCATTATAAATGATTATTTTAAGAATTAATTTTAAATTCAGCGGATAAAAAATAACATCAATTAATCCCCATTCGAGTAATATTATTTACGAAGGACCATCTTGGGAATAAATCTCAATTATAGAAGACCACGTAGGTAATTAAAACTTATTGAGGACTGATTTGGGAAAATTCCTTATTATAAAGGACTATTTTGGGAATAAATCTAATTATAGAGGACCACGTAGGTAATAAAAATTTATTGAGGACTAATTTGGGAAAACCCCTTATTACAAAGGACTATTTTGGGAATTTACTAAGAAAAAATAAAAGCCCAAGTCGCGATTAGAAGTCTATTGACAGTAGGAGTCTCGATTCCCAAATATATAGAAGAAGATAAGCTATTTACGCTACTTTCCAATTGAAATTGGGAATAAATAAAAGAAGATACGCTGGTTTCCGATTGAAATTGGGAGTCGCTACAGACGTGGCTTTCCAATTGCAATTCCCAACAACTTCAAATTGCGATTGGAAGAAGATTTTGAAGCGACGCTGTTTGGGCTTCTCACAATCGGCGATTGTATGCGATCCTGCGTTTTCACGAGCCGAATCGCCGATCCAGACGATTCTATTGGATTTCGCAATTCGGCATCCGTCTCGGATCGGGAAGCTTTCGGCGATCCTCAGACTCGTAGACTCGTACGAGTCAACTCGCGAGTTTGACTACCATGGGCCGCAATAAATTTTTATAGTGTAAGATAGATATATACATACATACATACATAGTGTAAGATACATACATACATACATACATACATACATACATACATACATACATACATTTTGGTTCCGATGAGAATAAAATCTTATGAAAGAAATAAGAATGTCTTATTGCCGTTAGATCTGATTGGTGCAAGACATTATTCGTTTCGAGATCAGGGCTTTTTAGGCATTTCATATTTTTTCTGTATCCCCATACTCGACCGATAGGTCCGAAAAATCCTCTCACAATCTCCACTCTATCGCAAATTATATTGTACATCCAGTTGTACCTATTCCAAGGTACAACCGGCTTTGGATCGAGAAAGGAGTGGCGGAAACTTGATTGTAGATGGCTGAAACCCTAAGTTTGAAGAGATGCGATGGTGATCATGATCGCAGATGGGATTAAGTTTCTGCTTTTGTCGTTGGCCAGTGCACGAAGAACAAGAAGTGTGTGTTTCTTTAATTGCGGTATTGGACTTCTTTCAGAACAAAAAAAAAAGAATTGGGCTATTGAGCTGTGTTTGGTGACTTTATTGGGAATGATGGTACATAACTTGAGAATGAACACTATGTTATTTGGAAATGAGTATTATTTTGTTTCAGAATAAACACTACATTATTCACAGATGAATATTATAATTGTATTGAACAAATGCGTGAAAATGAGTACTTCGTTATTTCAGAATGAGTACTACGTTATTTTAGAATGAGTATCACGCTATTTCAAAATAAACAGTTATGTTTGTGCAAGAATGAGTACTACTTTACTTTAGAATGAGTACCACGTGGATGTACCTATCTATAGATAGAGAGAGGGTTGTACCATATACCTTCTCCCACTCTATGTGATTGCTGTTGATGGAGATTTTAATTACTCAATCGTGGATTCATAACTCTATACGATTGTCATCGTTCTCCATCACACTCTAGGGTTTGCTCATAAGATCGACAATGGATACTCTTTTGGAATCAGGTATGTTCTCTAGGTAAAATAACATTCCAGGATTATTTCACTTCTTTTGGATCGATGCTCATTCTCCGTGTAAGCTCGCGGGTAATCTAAATAATATGAATATTGCTATTTTTTTATTGATTCGTGAGGTCTTTTTTCTTCAATATTATCAAATTTTTAACTTTTGGTCATTGATTTTTGTGTGTAGTGTAGCATCATGCATTTGCGTGTCTGATGTTATTCTGATAGTTATTTTTATTGCTCATTCTCCAAATCTCGCATTTTATACTTAAGCTCATTGTAATAATGTATTTGTAATTCTCTCACAATTTGACCACCAAATAGGGTGATTTCATATCTAGGACATCTGAACATTCTCCTAAATTGATTTTATAAACTATGATTTGGGAAAATGAGTTCGTAAGGATAAATGGGTATTGCAGAATAGCGAAGAAGGTCTAGTCTGAATAGGGGGCAGTGGCGTCTAGGTGGTCTTGCCATGTTTTGGTGGTTGCATCACTTCTACTCAAATTTGTCTTGGTAGTATATCCATTTTGACTGTCCAGCTAGGTTTAATAATATTGATCTAATAGTTCTCTATTCTTTTGTTCATCAACTTTGTGAGGAGCTAACCATGTTTTCAATGATGGTTGCCCAGTTCTAGTTGATGAACCAAATGAGTTAGTTCTACGTATATTTTATCCATGAAATTTTCTATTTTGCATCATGGCCATGTGGTAGTGCAACATGTAGTTACAAACTCTACTAGGTGAAGTTGAATTTATAAACAAGCACAATTTTGTTCATTAATGTTAAATATATATTCTATATTTAATGTAAATATATTGCTTCCTATTATTGTCTCCTACCTTGTATAGGATTAGAAATCCTTGTGTATATATAGACATGTACTCCCACATAATCAATCAATGAAATTAACCTTTCTACATGGTATCAGAGCCTAAAATCACAAAACCCTAATCCACCTCTCCTTCTCCTCTCCCTCTCGGCCTAGTCACTCTGCCCCCCTCCTCCTTGCGCCGTCTCCTCCTGCGGCTGCCAAACCAGCGGCGACGCCGGCCCCCCTCCCAACCGGAAACCTCCTCTTCCTCTTTCCTTTACCATGGCCGAAGTTAGCGAGGTCACCTCTCAAAATCTCTCCTCCAAACCCCCACATCTTGCTTTCACAACTGTCTCTAACGTAAAACTTCACGTTCCTGTTCAACTCAGCCTCTCTCACCTAATTACAAGAAGTGAAGTCGTTTGTTCCTCCTCTTAGTCAGGCGATTCAATCTTCAGGGCTACATCAACGGTTCCGTCATCCCCCTCTCTGAAGACGATGATGAATGGTTCCAACTCGATGCTCTTCTCCAGGGTTGGATCCTCTCCACTATCACCGATGAAGTCTCAGATCTGGTCATTTCCTTTGTCTCCACCGCCTCTGCACTCTGGAAGGTCATCCCATAGTCACAGAATTCGCTCCCACAGCCGTGACTTCCGTATTGGTACGATTCATACCCAATCGCAAGTCGCTTGCGATCCGATCGCAACCGGTACGGCGATCCAAATCGCGATGGTACGACGCTCCCAATCGCGATGGTACGGCGATCCCAATCGCAATGGTACGACGATCCAAATACCTAGGTACGTCGCACCCATCGCCGGCGGTACATCGTACCAGTGGCGACTTCCTCGACTTCCTCTTCCCAGCAAAGAAACGTCGACTTCCTCTTCCCACTTTGCCTCTTTCCCATTTCGACGTTTTCTCTTTCCCAAGCCTTCGTAAATTGAGTATGTTCCACTTCCCAGGCACGTTCCACTTTCCCAATTAAATATTTCTCTTTCCCATTCTCATCATTTAATATTTAATTTAAAATTCAATTCACAATTAAATATTATACTTATTTTTATCTATTTTTGTTTACTTATGTTTTGACTTTTGGTACGCCGAACCAAATACATGGTACACCGTACCACTTCGTACCGCTTTGTACCGAAATGAACCTACCCCCTTTCGTACCGAATTCATTACCTCTAGCAAATTTCGTACCCGTACTAAGTACTCGTACCGAAACGTACCGCGATTTATGTGACTATGGGTCATTCACGACTTGTTCCACGACAACAAACATGCTCGTGCTATGCAACTAGAGCATGAACTCCGTACAACCATCAAGGGAAACTCTACCATGGCAGCGTATTGCCAACAGCTTCAGAATCTCGCCGATTGGCTCGATGATGTTGATGCTCCTGTCTCTCAACACCAGCTTGTTCCCCAAATGCTTCAGGGGCTTCTTGCGGATCTTTAGGCCCAAATATCCTTCATGCAATTTCAAGATCCCATGCCGACGTTCCTGCAAGTTCGCTCTGCCCTCATGCTCCTGGATCGGCAACGGACGACCTCGGCCGACTCGGGCACCACGGCTCTACTCACCAACCGCGCCGGCGGCACTCACACCGGTGCATCTCATCACATCGCCACTCTATATCACTGTTGGTAATGGATCTAAAGTTAGCACTACGGCTGTTGGTAGCCATACCCTTCCCATCATCCAACCCCTATCCCTCAATAATATCCTTGTTTCCCCCCACATCACCCACATCCCGCGATAATAACTGTACTATTGAATTTGATGCTCATGGTTTTTCTGTGAAGGATCGTCGGACGGGCACCATGATGCATCGATCCAATTATATGGGACCTCTCTACCTCCTATGACGCCCCGCACCCGCTCGAGCTCATGTCGCCGCTGTCGATCTTGAGACTTGGCACCGGCATCTAGGCCACCCCAGTCCAAATGTTCTCCGTGGCGTCTCCTCTTTTCCTTTTTTTAAAAAGTTATCAACATTCTTTATGTCATGCATGTCAATTGGGAAAGCAGGTGCGCCTCCCATTTCATTCTTCTAGTCGTATTTCAACGTTTCCTTTTGAACTTTTACATACAGACTTGTGGCAATTTCCTGTTCCAAGTATTACTGGTTTTAAATTTTATATGCAAATGTTGGATGATTTTTCTCATTATTTATGGGCTTTTCCATTAAGACACAAAAGTGATGCTTTTAATCATTTAACATCTTTCGTCGCATATGTACAAAATCACTTTAACCAAACAATCAAAGCAGTACAATGTGACAATGGAACAGAATATCGTAACTCTCCTCTTAAAAATATTTTTGACTCCCTAGGCATTCTCTTTCGTTTCTCCTGTCCCCAAACCCGCCCAGCCCATTTCCCACCCTCACCAACATCCACCTCACAACCCAGTCCATACAACCTGCCCACTCCCCCCAGTCCGCAAACCAGCTCTGTCCCACAAATCCCACCCGACACCCCAACCCAGTCCACGACAGATATACCCCCCTCCCCACCAAACATCCATCCGGTGCAAACCCGATCCAAAGCTGGTGTCTTCTGCCCAAAACAAATCCTAAACCTCAAGACCTCTGCACCCAACTCCCCCTTACCCCCAACTTATCGTAGTGCTCTTAAAGATCCAAACTGGCATGCTGCTATGTGTGATGAATATAATCCATTGATAAAGACTGATACATGGGAATTAGTACCCCCCTCCCCCACCCAAAATATAATCACTGGTAAATGACTTTTTCGACACAAATTTGGCCCATCCGGTGAGCTTTCCAGGTATAAGGCCCGTTGGGTTGTCCGCGGCTTCAATCAGCGTTTTGGTGTCAACTATGGCGAAACTTTCAGCCCCGTCATCAAGCCTGCCACTGTCTGCGTCGTCCTTAGCCTTGTGTTGTCTCGGGGATGGCCCATTCATTAGCTAGATGTCAAGAATGCTTTCCTCCATGGCCAGCTTCAGGAAACCATGTATGCCAGCCAGCCTTCAGGTTTCCAGGATGCCAGTCGCCCTCACCATGTCTGCAGGCTAAAGAAAGCTCTATATGGCCTAAAACAGACGCCTCGTTCATGGTACCACAAGTTTGCAGGGTTCATTCAGACCATTGGATTTCACGATTGCAAATCTGACACATCTCTCTTCGTCTTCTCACATCCTACGGGCAGCGCCTACCTTCTCTTATATGTTGATGATATCGTTCTCACTGCTTCCTTGCCGACACTTCTTCAAAGCCTTGTTCAAAAACTCAAGGCTGAGTTTGCCATGACAAACATGGGTGATTTACACTTCTTCCTCGGCATCAATGTTCATCGCACCGCCACGGGTCTCTTCCTCCATCAAACACAGTTTACCCACGATATACTTGAGCGGGCCAGGATGGTGTCCTGCCACCCTATCTCTACTCCCGTGGACACGAAGGCAAAGCTCTCCTCCTCTTTTGGCACGACACTACCAGATCCCTCTTTTTACAGGTCCATTGTTGGTGCTCTGCAGTATCTCACATTCACTCGACCTGATATCACCTATGTCATTCAGCAGCTTTGCCTCCATCTCCATGCACCGCGTGATACTCATCTTACGGCCATGAAGAGAGTTCTCCGTTATCTTAGTGGCACTGCCACCCACGGCATCTACTTGACTTGTTCTCCGACGTATTATCTCCAGGCTTATTCTATATTTAATGTAAATATATTGTTTCTTATTATTGTCTCCTACCTTGTATAGGATTAGGAATCCTTGTGTATATATAGACATGTACTCCCACATAATCAATCAATGAAATTAACCTTTCTACAATTAACAACATAGTGAAAATTAAATGCATTCTCAGAGCACTTATCTCGAGTGGTATTGCACAAATCAAGTTCTATAGAGGTGAGTAGGTAGAGCACTTACAATCTGGATCTAAGTTTTGGTTGCTGCAAATTTTGATTTTTATGTTATAATTGCAGCAGCAATAGGTGGTGACGATTAAGACTCTGCTCCTATATGGTAATTTTTTATTCTTTGGCCATCTCCAATTTTTCTTTGGATTTCAATTTAACTTGATATCCTTTTAATTTTGTGTGCAGGATAGTTTCTAGACAAGTCTGTAAGTTGACATCCAATTGAATTCATACGGTGTAGTATGATTTTAAAATTACTTTGCTAATTAGACTTTGTAAAATCTGGTTATCTGAATGCATCATATGCTCCAATATCATGTCTAATTACATTATGCGTTTGCATCTATACTTTAAAGAGGTCTTATTAAAATGCAATACAATTGCTATGGTGTGACACAATAATAGTCCAAGATGCACTATGACTATTTTTTAAAGAGGGTTTTTATGTGGTCATATGCTTCATCTTTCTTGACTTATTTGGTACGGAGTATAATTTATGCACTGAGCGTAATAAGATGGTAATGGAACATATTGTAAATTCTACTAATGAATTTATGCTATGGTCCCGTATGGTACATGGAATTCAAAATATGAAATTGGAATTGGAGACTTCAATTCCAATTCTGGTGTTTGGTAGCACAAAAGTTATGTGGATTTGGAATTGATAGTGCAAAAAATGAATTGAAATTGACAGAATTCAATTCTATGGAATTGAATCCCATGGAATTTTAATTCCAATTCAATTCCAATTCCACCAATTCCTTATACCAAACGGACCCTATATGTAGATAATTGTTTTGGTTTTTAATAATATGGTCGCCTCTAAATGTCATCTCACAACACTTACCGCATGTTGTGCTGCATAGATATAAATGATATATATCATTGTGTTTCTCTTTAGTGAAATTTGCACTGAATAGGATTAAAAGATAAGTCATTTTCTAATGTAGGATTTAAACTTTTGTATTCTCTAAATAGGACTTAATAATGACTAGTGAGAAGAATAATGTCCACGTGATGCTGGACATTTAGTTGAATAATGACTCATAGATAATAACTAATGGTCCTACATAGGTAAATAAAAACATATGGTCCTATATTGAGAAAGTTATTATGTTTTAGTCTTCTTTTTATGCATCTTTTTTACTTTTTGTTTTTTTTTATTTTGTGCATTATCAGAATCACCGCAAAGTATTTTCATGAGAATATTGTGGATTATAAAAATTACAATAATATATTTTCATGAGAAGGCAATACATTCTCATAATCCAGGTAAATGATAATGCATTTTCATTCTATTACTGTGCATTTTCATAATCAAAGTTGATGCATCTAATGTTAAAACTCTGACACAAATATGATGCACTTGATTGTAAATTTTCACAAACGATGAAGCTTTAAAATATTTTGTGTTAAACTGGAATATGAATTATAAACATATTGAATGATGCAAATTTTCAAAGCTTAAAATGCGTATTTAATATGTTCAAGTGCAAGATGAGAGTCTTTTGAAAAAATCTAATGTTGCCTATTAGTTCAAATGGTAGAGCGGTACGTACTATAGATGTGGGTTTGAATCCTGCACAACAAAATGTTTTCAATTCCATATTACACTTGTTCTAAATACAATGTATTTTTAGGCTCTCTCATCACATATAAAGTCATTATTCATTAATCTACAACGGTAAATAAACAATGCATGCATAATTTACAATTTGTATTGCAACTATATATTAAAATGGTGCATACAGATAAAAATATTATCACGTGAGGGAAATTGCAGGTAGAATTGCATAATCTTGACCTCTTGTCAAAATCTCGTCAAGTGTCAAAACCCTGTGAATAAAAATCTTGAATGAAGAAAAGAGTACCGATCATTACTTCGATCGCTATGTTCATGCATATTGGTACCTCATTAAAAACCTTACCAAGTAACAAAACCCAATGGGGAAAAATAAACCTTGGTTTAAGGAAAAGAGTATAACATAAAATAAAAACTAGACCTTTGAATATTCAAATCCCCCCTGAAGTGTACATAATCAAGGAAGATTTGAAAGTCTATGCATCCCAATGTTTTTAACATGTTTCTCAAATGTGGCTTTAAACAATGATTTGGTGAATAAATCTGCCACATTCTCCTCAGATCGTATTTGATTTACTTGGATCTTGAGGAGAGTTTGTTGTTGTTGATTATAGAAAAATTTGGGAGAAATATGTTTGGTGTTATCACCTTTGATAAATCCAAGTTTCATTTGCTCGATGCAAGTAGCATTATCCTCGTAAATGCATATGGGTTCTTCAGTGGTTGGTCTCAAACCACTAGCCCCTCGAATGTGTGTAATGATAGTTCTTAACTATATACACTCGCAAACTGCCTCATGCAGAGCTATTATCTCTGAGTGGTTTGATGAGGTTGCTACTAGAGTTTGCTTTGTTGACCTCCACGGTATTGCATTGTTACCAATTGTGAATACATAACCAGTTTGGGAACGACCCTTGTGTGGATCAGATAAATATCCTGCATCAGCATACCCAATTAGTACATCATTGAGTGTTTCTAGATTTGAGGATGAACTCCCTTCTTCAACCATTTTCTTAGAATTCACAGCTTCCTTTGTCCTTTTTTATGGAAAAAACTGTCCCATATCACTAGTTCCCTTTAAATACCTCAAAATATTTTTGATACCGTTCCAGTGACGTTGCGTTGGCGCAGAGCTAAATCTAGCTAACAAGTTCACTGAGAATGCTATTTCCGGCCAAGTACACTAAGCTAGGTACAATAATGCACCTATGGCACTTAAGTACGGAATTTCAGCTCCTAATACCTCTTGATCCTCTTCCTTTGGACGAAATGGATATTTTTTAGGATCTAAACTTCGGCCGACCATGGGAGTGCTAGTAGTATGCGCTTTGTCCATGTTAAATTGCCTAAGTACCTTTTGGACATACGCAGACTGGTGGATTAATATCCCACCAACTCGATGTTCTAGTTCAAGGCCTTAACAAAATCGAGTTTTCCCAAGGTCCTTCATCTCAAATTTAGATTTCAAATAATTTGCGGTTTCTCTTATTTCATCAAGAGTGCCTATTATGTTCATATCGTCAACATAGACAGCTACAATTGCAAATCCAGAACTTGCTTTCTTTATAAATACGCAGGGACATATTTCATCATTTTTATGTCCCTATTTAATCAAGTAATCACTTAGGCGGGTATGCCACATCCTACTGGATTGTTTCAAACTACAAAGAGAGCGTTCTAGTCTGATCGGAAATGCACTCTGTGGTTTAGAGTCACTTGATTTGGGTAAGGGAACACCGTCTGGTACTTTCATGTATATCTCAGAATCAAGATCCCCATAGAGATGTGTAGTGACCACATCCATAAGCCGCGTTATAGGGGATGTATATCTCGGAATCTGCTAAGCTCACCAAGTACCTAAATGTTATAACATCCATTATAGGGGAGTATGTCTCATCATAATCAATTCCAGGGCGTTGTGAGAAACCTTGCGCCACTAGGCGAGCCTTATATCTTAAGACTTCATTCTTCTCATTACGTTTCCTGACAAATACCCATTTATGTCCTACACTTTACACTTGGAGGGGTTAGCACTACCGGACCAAATACCTGTCTTTTTGCCAAGGAATCGAGCTCTACCTAGATTGCTTCTTTCCATTTAGGCCAATCCACTCTTTGTTGACATTCTGCAATAGAGCGTGGTTCGATATCGTCATGCTCTATTATCTCTAGAGCAACACTGTAAGCAAATACATCATCGATGTGTGTTGAATATCTTTCTAGTAATATATTTGCACTCTCATAATCCATTGAGATTTCTTTGTTCTCTTGAATCATATCAACCATCGGAGCGTCCTCCAGTAATGATTCATGGACATAACTATAATCAGAGATAATCTCATGGGATGGATGTTCAACATCGATGTGTAACAGATTAGTTTGTGCCGTACTCATCCTTTTCTTCCTTAGATGAGTGTCAATCGAACCAAGTGGCCTTCCTCTCTTCCTTTGAGGAGCCATAGCCTCACCCACACTTCCACTCGGTGTGGATGTAGTGCCTGTCATTACGGCATTTTTCTTTTTAGTTGGGACTTCTAACCTTGTAGGTGCATTTGCAGCAGGTATGTGTGATCTTGTGACTTTAGCAATATCAGTAAGTGAATCAGGCATCGAATTTGCCACGTTTTGAAGATCAATTATTCTTTTCACTTCGCTTTCACAATGTGAAGTACAGGGACCGAAATGAGACAGTGTGGGGACACACCAAGATATTTCCTGTCGTTTGCTTGGAGAGTTTTTCTTATCTCTCCCTAACGACGGGAAATCTGTCTCATCAAAGTGACAATCTGCAAATCTAGCAGTAAAAAGATCACCTGTCAAAGGTTCTATATAGCGAATAATGGTTGGTGATTCATATCCAACATAAATACTTAATCGTCTTTGAGGACCCATTTTAGTGCGCTGTGGGGGCGCAATTGGCACATACACTGCACAAACAAATATCTGTAAGTGTGAAATGTCAGGCTCATAACCAGTGACCAACTGGTATGCAGAGAATGGTTGTGAAGCAGTGGGTCTCAAGCGAATAAGTAAAGCCGCATTTGTTGTCTTTTAATGGTTTCTTCTGTAGGCCATTTTGCGTATGTACATTGGGAACAGAATGCTCTACATCGATCCCAATGGCCATGCAATAATCATCAAAGTTCTTAGATGTAAACTCTGCAGCGTTGTCAAGTCTTACAGACTTGATCGAGTGGACAGGGTGGTGAGCCCTTAAACAAATTATTTGTGCCAAGAGTTTTGCAAATGCAGCATTTCTTGTTGATAATAATGTAACGTGCGACCAACGTGTCGAGGCATCAACCAGTACCATAAAGTACCGAAATGGTCCGCATTCTGGTTGTATCGGCCCACATATATCTCCTTGTATCCGTTGTAGGAATGGTATATTTTCTTTTAAATCTTTAGCATAGGATGGTCGTGATCCTGTTTTTTCTAATGAGCAGGCTTTACAAAAGGATGGTGCTTCAATTGCTTTACAAAAGTATGAGGCTTTACATTGTCAAAAAAAACATTTTGACACAAGGATGATGCTTCAATTGATTTAGAAGGCATTTGTCGGAGTAGGGCAAGATTTGGTCGACTGTTATCCAAGCTGTTGGGTTTTTGTGTCGCTCTGTCCTTGCCTCGAAAGAAAGGATGACCGTGAGAGTTTTTTAGGATACGAATCATCATGTCATGACCAGGATGCCCTAGTCGTTCATGCCAAAGCTTATATCGTTCAGTATCCCTTATGTCATCATGACTTATAGAATAAGATTCAATTATTCGAATTGTAGTGATATACAGTCCACTACTCTTACCCTTAAATTTCTCTAAGATGCGCTTTCTTCCGTGTTCATTAGAAGTAATGTAAAGGTATTCAATACCATTCTCACAATAAGTCTCAACATGAAAACCATTGTTACGGATATCTTTGAAACTTAACAAGGTTCGAGTAGCTCTAGGTGCATATAGAGCATTTATGGCTTTAATCAATGTACCATTTGGGAGTAAGAAAATGGCAGTACCACGTCCTTGAATTACATGTGACGAACCAATCATTGTTGTCACAGATGATATATAGGCTACCAAATTAACAAATAGTTGCCTATTTCTGAAGATGGTATGGGCAGTCCCACTATCTATTAAGCACTCAAGTTCACCTTGATTCATGCCTGTGTAATGAGAGAATTGCATATAAACTGTTAGGAAATTGGCAAAAACATAAAAGAAATTATTCCAAAACATCATGCATGGAGAGAATGAAGAAAGTGTATGAATCAAAATCAGGTGCATCTATTGAGTGCACATTATCCCCCTTGTTCGTAAAGTGTGCAAGGGTAAGGTTGACATCAGCTTCATTGCCTTCTGCGTCCAAATATTGAGATTCATGCTCTCTAGATTGGAGATATTTCTTGTAGCAGGCTGCAACTTTGTTACTAGCGCGACAATGCTTGTACCAGTGTCCGCTAACTCCACATCGGTAACATGGCTCATTCTTTATCTGAGGATTCTTAGATGCCTTTGACTTCTTGTTTGTGTGGCCACTCGGTCCATCATTTGACTCTCTTTGCCAAACATTGGAAGATACTCCACGACCTCTACCACGACCGCCACAACCCTTCCCACGATTAGAGTTATTTCCATGTGGGTAAGGATTAGCACGTCCAGGTCCCTTTTCATTGGGATGCCTTCCATGTTTTATTTTCCCATAATTGGCTTCAGGAATTTTCTTTGTCCCGACAGAACGAGCATTGTTATTCAAAAGGACTTCATTATGCTTTTCTGCTGATTGCAGCATATTCATCAACTTGTAGAATGTGGTAATTCTTTTGTTTTCATACTCCACTGGTTCGCTAGTATCATGGATGAGGTAGGAAATGTGTCAAGAGTCTTTTGAATCATGTCATCTTCGATGATTGGCTTACCACAAAAGATGTGACGTTCCTTAAGATGCAACATATCTTTGACAAAGTCATGATTTGTCCGTTTATCATGAATGGTAAACTTGCGCATTCAGTTCTGGGAGTAGAGTATCATGAATGTTCCCATAACGTCCCTTAAGGGAATCCCACAGTTCTTTGGGGGTTTTCAACTGAATATATTCCCAACGTAAACTTGGGTAAATGTGTTGCCTTAGGAACATTAAAGCATTTTCTTTCACTTTAATTAATAAATCGTTTAAAAAAATGCCTTTACTTATCCATCGCTTTCTATTTTATTGTAAATGCATTATTACTTTCCATATGAACTACTAGTTAGTTGTCGAAATCTGGGCCACATGATACACAAGATCTAGGGGTTTAGATCTATTTTCATTATTTCACCAAGGTTCATTCTCACATGAACCGGCTACTATATATATATATATATATATATATATATATATGAATATAATGGCAGTTTCTCTCTCTAGCTTTCCGGCAACCGGATCTCCGTCGGCGGCCATTTCCAGCCATCACAATATTAGTGGTAAAACCCTTTTCTCGGATCTCTTCAAAGGAGAGAGAGTTAAGCTGCCAGGGAAACTTTGTGGCTTGTACCATGCAGCCCCCTCAGTGCAATTCATGGTGGAAGAAGAAGAGAAACTGGCCGGAAATTTCAGCAGAGCAGTAATTGGTAGGTGTAGCTCAAAAACCTACATGCCTGACGTTGAAGATTTCCTTATAAAAGGGGGTTTTAAGGAATTCAAGCTAAGGAGGCTTAAAACTCAAGAGATACTCTTCATCTTCAAGAGGGAAGAGGACTACCTTCGCTGGTTTCACAGGAGAAGCTGGAAGATAAAATCCTCAACTATCACGCTATGCAAATGGACTCCTAATCACTCTCACAACTTGGATTACCCAGTTATCCCTTTATGGGTTGAGGTTAGAAATATTCCTTTACATCTTTCATATCACAAACCTCTTTTCTCTATAGCATGAGCTCTGGGCAAACCAATTAAGCTGGGAGCAAAAACGGCCATGGGTTTCTACCCGGGCACAGCCAAGGTTTGTGTTGAGATGGATGTCTCCCTTGCCAAACCTCCAAAGATCCATGTGAGACTAGGCTCAAAAGATGTGTGGCTCCCTTGCACTTATGAAGATCACCCTCTTTACTGCTCCCAGTGTAAAAGATTTGGCCATCTCCTTTCCCATTGCCGGAGGAAAGGTCCGGTGGTGGTGGTGGGCCATCAGGGAGCGGGGAACTCTATTCCACAGATTCAAGAATGGAAAATGGTCACCAGGAAACGTCCAAAACCCAGTCTGGTTGTGTCTCCAAAGTCCCCTCCTTTCAGTAAGACCCTTTCCCAACAACCCATTATTAATTCTCACCAACAGCTATACTCCAAAAACCCTGGTACCCCTGGGACTTCCACTTCCTCTTTGGCATCTTGTCCTCAATTTTTTTCCCAACCCTGCATGCCACTACTCCATCCCATTGTGGAAGACACCTCAGATGTTGAATCACCTCTCCATAAACCCACTTTGTACCGGGCCCTACCACCTTCACCCTTGCAAACCCTAACCCCCCCTTTGCCGCCACCTCCCTTTCCCCCAGACCTTTCTTTCCTTTATCCCAGTAATCATAATTCTTGCCAAGAGATAATCCCCTTCATCCATCCTCTTTCCCCTCAGCCTATTCTAGGGAGTAAAGATGACTCTTTCTTACCCATAACCTCTGATCCTTCTTGGGAGCCTGAGGAATTTGACAATGAAGATCCTGAAAGCATCTCACCTTTGGGCTACCACTCAGAGGGAGACCAACCCACTCCTCAGCAAACCCCTATTTCTCCTATGGAGATGGACTTATCATTGTGCTCCAAAGTCTCAATGCCTTTACAGAAATCAGGATTTGAAAAAGCATCACATGGTCTCACTGGTTATGCAACCAGGAGCAAGACAAGGAAGGTTGTACCCCCCAACCATCCCTTATGAAGCTCATATTTTGGAATGCCTGTGGGGTTACTTCCTCCCTCAGCAGGCTCATATTCCTCAAGAGGAAACATAATCTTCATTTCCTTTGTATCATTGAACCCATTACCTCCAACAGCCAACTTGAAATCTTCAGACTCCATCTTGGCTTTTCTAATGCTCTTTGCTCCTCTAATAATAAGAGATGGATTTTTTGGAATAATGACTACCTTGTCCTTACCTCTTACCAAGATGAAAACCAGATCACCCACTGCCATTTCACCCTCACAGCCTCCCAATCACCTATCATCATAACCTCAGTCTATGGTGCCCACTCTATAGCTGACAGGAGAGAACTTTGGAGCAATCTTCAGAATTACAGCAAGCTCAATCATCAATGGATAATTGGGGGAGATTTCAACACCATTGCATCCCTTACTGAATTCAAAGGGAAATGTATACCAAGCTCTCAAGGTATGGAAGAATTTTCAGAATGTATCTCAAACTGTAACTTGATCACTCTGGAACCACAAGGTGGTTTGTTCACTTGGTCTGGGACCCAGAGCCAAGGAAGGACCTGGAGGAGACTCGACAGAATACTGGCTAATATATCTCTTCTAGCTTATTATGATGATGTCTCCTTAAAGCACCTGTCCAAATTCAATTCAGATCATAAACCCCTTTTGGTACATTGTAGTAAGTCCACTCCTACTGGTCCAAAGCCTTTTAGATTCCTTAATGCTTGGACCTTGCATGACACCTTCCATTCCATGGTTCAAAAGACTTGGGGTAATCTGCCCACCATAGGAGGAATGAGGGGATTGGCTAACAAACTATCTAGCCTCAAAGCAGCCCTTAAAACCTGGAACAAGGAAACTTTTGGAGACATTTTCTCCCAACTTCAACAAGCAGAAGACAAAGCTTTGGAAACGGAAAAGGATTTTGAGATCAATCCTTCACAAGAAAATAGAGAAATTATGCAGAAAGCCAATGCAGCCTTGATTTATGCCACAAACCTGGAAGTCCAATACTGGAAGCAAAAGGCAAACATTAGATGGCTGGAAAAGGGAGATTCCAACTCCAAACTCTTTCAAGCCTATGTTAAAGGAAAGAGAAGGAAACTCTCTATATCTCATATTATTAAACCAAATGGAGCAGGCACTAGCAACCCCTCTGAGATCAAGACAGAAGCCATCTCCTTCTTTGAAAACAGCTTCAAGCAATGCCAACATCCTTCTTTTGATCCTATCCTTCCTCTCATCCCCTTGATCCTAACCTCAGATGATAACCTCAGAATCTGTGCCATCCCCTCTATGGATGAAGTTAAACAGGCTGTTTGGGAACTAGATGGCAATAGTGCAAGTGGACCTGACGGGTTCAATGGAAATTTTTTCAAAGCTACCTGGGAAACTATCAGACAGGATGTTCTCACTGCATCTCAAGAATTCTTCATGGGGCAACCTATTCCTAGAGCTTATGGAAGCACTTTTTTGACCCTCATCCCAAAAACTGATAACCCTAAAAGATTTGAAGACTACAGGCCTATTTCTCTCTCCACTTTCATGAGCAAAATTAATACCAAACTCCTTGCAAACAGACTCAACAAAATTCTGCCCAAATTGATTTCTAAGGAACAAGCAGCATTCCAAAAAGGAAAATCCATTGATGACCATATCCTTATGGCACAAGAAGCTGTCCACCTCCTTGACAAAAAGGTGTTTGGGGGAAATTTTATTCTAAAGCTAGACATGGCAAAAGCTTTTGATAAACTTGAATGGGGATATCTTGAAGCATTACTTAAGGCTTTTGGATTAGCAAATCTGTCAACAACACTTTTAATGGCTAATCTTAGAGGGTCCTATTTCAGCATCCTTCTCAATGGTGAGCCAGCGGGTTATTTCAAAATGGAGAGGGGGGTCAAACAAGGAGACCCCCTCTCCCCTCTTTTATTCATTCTTGCAGCAGAAGGATTCAGCAGACTCATAAATCAGCATATGGGCTCATCTCATCTCCTCAGATTTAACTCAGGACAGGTCAAATTCCCTTCCCACCTTATTTATGCAGATGATATTATGATTTTTTCCAGGGGTGAGTCAAGAAACCTCCTCAAACTCAAATCCACTCTAGACACATACCTCAAGGCATCAGGACAGGAGATCAACCTAAACAAAGGTAAATTTTACACCTCCAATAAAACAACCACGTCACAGATTCAACATATGGAGAAGGCTATTGGAATCAGTAGAGGCAAACTCCCTTTCACCTACCTGGGAGCACCTATTTGTCGTGGGATTCTGAGAAAAGAACACTGCAAGGACATCCTGGGACATTTTGAGAAACGCATCCACTCCTGGTACAGCAAAACCTTGAACCAAATGGGCAGACTTATCCTTATCAAGCATGTGCTTTCATCAATCCCATTACACATACTTGTAGTGCACACCCTTCCTAAATCTATCATCCATACTCTTACCAAGTACATGGCTAATTTCCTCTGGGGACAAAAGGAGGGTGCACAAAAATATCACTGGATAAGGTGGAACAAACTGACAAAACCAGAGAAAGAGGGGGGTCTTGGAATCAAAAGCTTGGAAGACCAACATCAAGTGTACACTCTCAAGCTCTGGTGGAAGGCAAAAAATGATGTGGGCATCTGGGGACCATTTGTGAGAGCAAAATATATGAAAACAGGAATCATAAAGGAGAAGATCACTGACTCTCCCACTTGGAAGAGAATTTGTAGAACAAATGTACTTGCAGATTCCCATACCAGTGTTGTAGGCGAAGATATGCTCTGGAATGGAGGTACTTTCAATCTCAAGGAAGCCTACAAGGTGGTTCAAGATAGTGGACCAAACCTACTCTCTTGCAAATACATTTGGCACATCTCAAACACACCAAAAATCAGGATTTTCTTGTGGAAATTACTCAATGATGGACTCCCCTTCCCACAAAACATCTGCAAATTCGCCTGTCATCTCCCAAGCCTTTGCCTTTTATGCCAAAACAACAATGATGACATGGATCACAGCTTACTCCAATGTCCAACAGCCTCCCACGTATGGAACAAGCTTGCCATAATGGCCAATGGACCAAGGGTGAAGAAGGACACCACACTGCGCCAACATCTCCTTGCATGGTGGTTCGGAAGCAACACCAAACACTTCAAAGGTACCCTTCGTCTCATTTTACCAGGAATTTGCACGTGGTCCCTTTGGAAGGCACGTAACTCCAGCATCCACAATGCATCGAATCCAACGGCAGATGGAATATTTCATTCAAGCCTCAAATCCCTACAAGCGTGGGCATGGATAAATAGGAACAAAAAGTGGATGATCAAGGATGAAGATTTCAATGGCTTGGGGATGGATTCTTTTTGGCGCAATGGTCGTAGAGTTTTATTTAAAAGTGTTGTTTGATTTTTCTTTTTTACGGCCATGCCCCCATGTATCAACTCTCTTTCTTCTTCAATAAAACTTACTTTTGATATATATATATATATATATATATATATATATATATATATATATATATATATATATATATATATATATATATATATATATATATATATATAGGGGTGAGATCATGTGAGAAAGGGTCCTAGTGAAAGAAATAAGAATGATGGAGAAGCATTAGATGAAGTGGGATGGATGGCTGTGATTGAACCATTACTTTTTAGTAATTATTAAATTGCAAATGGTAAGTGTGAATTACCGTGCTTAAAAATAGGGGATGGCTGTGCAAAAGGGCAAATTTGCCATTCGAAAGATCACACGTGCCCTCCCCAAAAAGGAATCCTGATGCGTATCCCTTATTTGGTGCTACTTTCGAGTAGAAAGCGCAGAGGCAAATTGCATACCTCCATTAAACGTGCTCTTGGACTTGGAGTAGTCTTCTGCAATTCGGAGTCTAGTCGGTATGGCAACTGAGAAGAGAGCAGCGACGGAGAAAGAGGGGGCGGATACCAATTTCACCCCGCTGACCTCGACACATGAAACAGGTAATGCTATAAACTTAATTTGTTGTGAATTTGTTTATTTGGGGGGTTTGTAAATTGATTTAGTGATTGCATGTGTTGGAGTAGGGTTTCGGGTGTGTGTAGTATCTTATTTGGGGTATATGTTGCACCAAAGTTGATTTTTATGGTGTTAAATTTGGAATTAAAATGCATGAATTTCATTTGGTCATGAAATTTTTTTGGGGGGATTTATGCATGTTTGTATGGCTTTTGTGATAGTTAGTTTAAATTGATTGTACTGAGCGTTTGGTGCACTTTGTATTGAATTTCCGAAGTGAATTGTGAGACATATCAGTTGATTAGTGGCATGAATGAATCTGTTAATTAGATGCATGGTATGTGGTTAGGCAAGCATTACAAAATTTTAATTGGGCAAGCAATATATGTGTTCTAGATTGCATCATTCATTTGGGATGTGTGGTTGTTACTTTGCTGGTTGTAATACAAAGTAATTGGATTTGGTTTTGTAATATGCAGTATGTGGTTCAAAATAAGCAGTGTAGTGCATTGTGCATGACATCTATTTTTTTGTGAAATTGAAGTTTGTTGCACCATAATTGAAGTTTGGTGCACTTTGTATTGATTTTCCGAAGTAAATTGTGAGACATATCAGTTGATTAGTAGCATGAATCAATCTATTAATTAGATGCATGGTATGTGGTTAGGCAAGCATTACAAAATTTAAATTGGGCAATCAATATATGTAATACAAAGTAATAGGATTTGTTTTTGTAATATGCAGTCATTGGTTCTAAATAAGCAGGGTAGTGCATTGTACATGACATGTTTTTTTTTGAAATTTATGGAAGAGAATAATATAAATAGTTGCATGGATTAATTCAAGTTACCATGAAGTTCAAACAGATATTATTCTCTGGTATTATGAATTTGGGATTTGATTTTGTAACTTTTTGTTTTAGAATTCTATAAGGGTGTTTGATGCAGTGTTGTTGAAGTTTTGAGTATTTTGATTTGTTTTTGATGTGAAGTGTGGGTAATTTGAATTGATTAGAGTCAGCTTCCATT